TTATTATTTTTTTCAGAATAGATAAGAAAAACATATTTTCAAACAAGTTTTTTTATTTTTATTTTCAAAATAAAAAACCGTTGTGAAAACAAATAATCAAATGAGAGACTTTGACCAATAACGCAACAGGGAAGGAGCTGGGTTACGCATGTAAGAGAGGATTTGGGCAAGTCAAGTCTCTGGATGTGGGTACTGTGGCCCCACCTCATTATGAGTTGGGACCATCCATCACCATATAATTCTGAAATTAATTTGGATTTTTCGTATAATTATTTTAGGCTCATAGTCTCCGACAATATATTAAAGTTTTAATTTTCTATCATTATAGTTTGTCACAGTGTTAAAACCGATAATATTTTGTTCTTTGAGGTGGGAGGCAAACTTTGATGCTAGTAATGGCCGGTTTGATTTCTATTTTTTAAAACTACTTTTTATTTTTAAAAAAGTTAAAAAAACTCAGTTTTAATAAATGTTTTGAATTTAATTATTTTTAAAACTATTCTCATTTTTTGTTTTTAAAAGAAAAAAATGGAAATATATTAAAATTATTTTATTTTTCTTATTTTCAAAATACACTATATTTAATTATTAAAAATATTATTAGTTTGAGCAACTTTTATCACAAGTTACTATCATTAATAGCCTCCAGTACGTCAAGTAATTGCTGGGATTCATTCCCAATTGATGTAGTGGAGTTTTCTCCACCTTTTCTCTTTCTAACAAAAAAAAAAAACCCTACCGCAAACATATTTTTTAATTCTAAAGCCAATTTTAAATTAACATAATCAAATAGATTTTCATTTCATTTTGTTTTAAAAATAATTTTAAAACCTATATTAGAAAACAAGATTTAAAAAAAAAGAGAGAGAATAGGCACCTAACACGCCCTAAATCTCTATGATTCGACTCATCTAAGTAAACTTTTTTTCACCAAAAAAATATTACTCTTTTGATGACAAACCATTGAGCATTCCATAACCGATAGCTTGAAATCCGAATCATGGTCAAGCCTTAATTGGGGAAACAATATTTTCCAACATAATTTTTTTTTGTTAATGACAATTGAATTTGAGACTTTGCATAAGGATATTAAAGGTCTATTTAATTTCCATTTTCCATTTTTTAAGTACTCATTTGTATAGGTATTATGCTACAAAATGATTTCAAAATATATTCTTGGTGCTTTTAAATGGAAGATAATGAAAATAATTGAGTGAGTGGAATAACATTCATAATCACGTGCATGACAAAATTCCAACTATCACAACTTTTCATGACTAATTAGCTATAACCTTTGAGTATTTAATTAACTCATATTTTTATTTATCATCTATTCATAAAAAATTGAGAGAGGTATAAGTTCACTATAGTAATTAAATTTTAATATATTACTCCTGAAATACCTCGAGAAAAAGCACTAAAGTAAATCTAAACTTAGGTTACCATATGAAGAAAAAATTATCATATAGGAGCACCATTAGTTTTCCTTTTGAATTTTTTTATTACTTAAAATATCTTTCGATTATAAGCAATCATATTTGATGCATAATAAGGCACTAGATATAAGCTTTTTCTTTAAATTTTTTAAAATAGTGAATCATCTCTTAAAAGGCAAAAACTGACATAGAAAGTTTTTAAAATTTATATTCCTCTCTTTCTTGTTCTTTTCCACCTGTTTCCTCTTATATGGGAGGAGTTTCTTTTTTAAAATCAAAAGGAGAAAAAAAATCCTTTCTTAATCATCGTATAAGCTTTCAACCAAACCTATATATTTTTGTCATATTTTTTTAATATAAAAAGCTACGGTTAGAGATCATATATAGAAGAGACAAAGAGATAAATCAAGGGTTGGGAGTGAAGGATTCAAACCTAGTTCATCTTATTCTCAAGACATGATTAAGTACTAAATATAAGTGCCTCTTTTAATCAACAAGATTCAAATCTAGTTCATCACATTACGAAGGATTAACGCCTTTTGCCAGACCCAATTTAATTACTGTAATTATGGTGTACATGTTTGTTTTTGCGTTTCCAGAAGCTGACAATAATGTAATTCTTTGTGAACTGGCCACCTTATATATGAGGATTCAAGTCTTTGTCGCTTTATGCCTATTGGGTTAAGTTTGCAAGACATTTGGCGGAGTGATTAAGCCACATATACTCTTTCCAATCTTATTTATTATAACATATTTGGAGGAGTGGTTTTGTGGTTTTTCAAGGCACTACATGATACTAATTAACTATTAGAAAAATATAATTTAATTGTGTATCCATGATTGAATAATATAGGGCTTTTGCCTATTTTCACCAAAAAGAAAAATATGATTTAATGAGAGAATTTAGTGAGAGGAATGTTTTATTCCTTCCTAAAAGGTCAAATTAATGAGGAATGTTACGAGAAATTGCAACTTTTTCATCCAATATAATATTAGCGAGGAAAATGATTTTTAAATTTAAATTGAGTCGTTAATAATTTCAGTCGTCCGTCTCATTATTAGTCTGACTATTTGGTTCTTAAAACATTGCCACCATCCTACTCAGATTTGAATTTGGTGAATGTATAGACCTGCAATCATCTAATTTCACTTTGTAGAATTAATAAAATAAAACGTTATGATTTTAAGAGAAGACTTGCACAAGTCATGAGAGTATTTTGGGATATTTCCACTCTTGTCTCTTCTTCCTTCATAAGAAGAAAATTTTGATCACCTTATAACATTTCTCTTGCTGGCCAATGTGTGGCCTAAAAGAGTTGGACTATCATCATTATCTGTTATGGAATTAATACTCTTAAATCTTAATAGTTCGCTATTATAAACTTTTTAGCATTAGAGGGATTCCAATATTTTTTTTTTGATTTTATTGGTAAGACTTAAACAAAAAGACTCTAATTAAAAGATGATAAGCTTCTTATGATTCACTCCAACCCGTATTAGTATTAAAGCAATGTTTCTATTGCATGGGCTCATTTTCTTTGTCTTTGAGTATTATTGATGCTTTGTTTTTGTTATTTTGATGACAAACCAATAAGTATTTGAACAACTAACTAATTTAAATTCTAGTCAGGTCAAGATCATACGGAAAATATTTTTATGAATGATTTTTTTTATTAATAATAAGACTCAAACTTTATACATATTTTAATGGTGTTTCTCTCACCAAAATTTAATGGAAGATAAAAGGAGACATTTATAATAAAAATTTAATGATTTAACTTATAAATATGATAAAAAAACATCCTCTCTCTCCACCTTATAAATACAATTGAAGGAAATATCTCTATTATTATATTGTACATAGGCTCATGTTTCTATCTTCAATTACTAAGGGAGCTAGACATTGATGAAGAGACTTGCTCATTGCACGGCTGTGACAAGTCATTAAATATCGACAGCTTGAAGATGAAGTTTCACAGATGCAACAAAAATGAGAGACTCAATGATCAAATCTCCTACTCATTCAATATTCCACACCAAAATTAGGTATTCAATGAATGATATATGTAACATCCCAACAATTTTAATGCGGGATTAATAAATTAATTGAAAGTAAATTAGTAAATTGATTATTGAATAAGTTAATCATACTTCTAGAACACCAATGAATTTATTGGAATGTTAGACAACCTTAGGATTGAGCTAAGATGGATATTTGGCCAACCGGGCCCAAATGAAGGACCAAAATCACGAGTTGGGCCTTTGTATGATCTGTCACAAAGAATGCACCATGCATCACGACAGACAGTGCAAAGTTTGGTTAAATGAAACGTGATTGGGGCCTGAACAGATAAGGAAGAAAACGGGAGAACTTGAGGGAGCACAACATTGGGAGAGCTACGATTTGTTTTGGGAGCTTCTAGGAGGAGATTTGCATTGTGGTCAAAATGATCGTGCAAGTCCAAAATCTGCAAGCTTCAATTGCCTTCGTTGTCTACAGTAGCGGAACCAGAGCAGTAAGTGTGGGAGGGCCAATTCAATTTTATTGTATATTTGGATTAAGATATTTGAACTTTTATTATTAATTCAAAAAAAATTTATAATATAATTGATAAAATTTTTAAGATAATAAATCATAAATAAACTTAAAAAAATCAAAAGGAAAGATATCATCTTTACTATTTTAATATATTAACATTGAAAATTTTCAATAATAAATTTTGCCGAAAATTGAAGAAAAAGGTTTTCAAAGAATATATAAAAAGGAAAAACTTATATATTTAATATAATTGTTTTCAATTAAATAAAAACATGTATATTCTGTGTAGATTATGTATTTCATAACATACTCTTGTTATTAATATTATTAATATATTTAAATTCAGTTATTTTGATTTGATTAGATAAAAGTATATCGGGTATATAAGGCTAAGTACCCAAGTATCGTCCCATAAAAAATTCATACTTTTATGATTAAAAGAAATTAATAATGTATTCATATTTTTATCTACTATTACCTATAGAGATAAAGAGAGGTAAATTAAAATAATTGATGTTGAAGTAGAGATTTATTTTATTAAGTGGAAAGACAACATAAAGCAACCAGCAGGTGTAAGAAGTGAGAAATTCAAAGTGAAAATATTAAGGTAAAAGTCAAAACTGAAAATTCATGGGTCAAAACTATAATTTTCTCCTTTTAAAAACCATGCCCCATTACATATAGTAAAAAAAAAAAGAAAAAAAAAATCTTTGGGGGGGGGGGGGGAGGGAACAAGCATCACCTGGGTCCGCCCCTGATTGTCTTGGAGCCTGCATCAGAACAAAATTCATGAAATAGGCTTATCATTTACGGCCAAAAAGATAAAATACATAAGCTTCTAGAGACGAAATCTAGCTTTACACAAACCTTATATATCACGATGGAGTACTTGATTCACATGGCAATAATGAAGCCGCGTCAAAAGCTGTCTCACGTAACACTTAAGCAAGAAGAAGCGAGTCAGTGTTTAAAATGAATCACTACCACAATTATTAATTTGATTTAAACAATATTTGGAGCCATACCTTGATCTGGGGAACTGTAAATCTCATCCCAGGTCGATCTGCAAGACCAGTCAAACCATGGTCCATGTATTCAAATACCATATAGATACCACCTTTATATTTGTAATGATCTCCAGCACAAAAAAATACAAACAAGTTAAGATTCCTTGGACAAAGAAACTAATAGGAATTTGACAGAATTATCTTCACATACAGTGGAATGATCATAGAGCAAATTAGGCACTGCTGTGCTAATTGTTAAGGAAGTAATTAGCTAATAGTGAAAATAGACACCTGGCTTCCCTTGCTGGTCTATCTCAGGGCTTGGGGATAAAAAGACCAGTCATTTTAATAACAAGAGGAAAATTATATAACAACAAACATTTAGATATTTAAAAACTTTACCTGGAGATGTCTGTAATAACTCAGGAATATAAAAAATTTTAACGAATTAAAATTATGATCAAGTGTTTTGTGTATATTTTTTATAAATTTTGGAGACGCAACAAGAAAGGTTGAGTCTAACGGCAACGAGAAAGTTATGGTTCGATTCTTCCTGGTACGCAAGAGGATCATTTTATTATTTATTCTTTCAGATTTAAGAAATTACTAAAATGCCCTGAAAAATATATAAGAATAACAAGGATCAGATGTATCTCTTCCCCTTCATTCTTCTGAAAGCATCACAGAGAGAGAGAGAGAGAGCCTGGATCCCTCCATCATTCCTCTTCCTCCGTCCTTCCAATCGCCGGCGAAGGTACTGTGAGAGTCGCCGTTCGTCCGCCACTGTGGTAGTTCTATGAGCTCGCAATCTTCACCTTTAGGTGCCGTCGATTTCTTCCTCTTTCATCCGTATGGTGCTGTGGTGCTTCGAACCCTTTCTCCATTCCTTCTGTACGTCGCCGGTGTGTACACAGCAGTTGTTTCCGTCGCTGGTGGAGGTTTGATTCGCTGGTCGTTCTCCTCCCCTGTTTCGTGTCGCAACCCTTCTTCGTCATCTTCATGTTCGGTCACTGCAATATTGGTGGAGGGAGCTTAGATCTCCTCCCTTCTTTCCTCTTTGCTTTATTGGTGAGCCAACTTCCACTCTCTTCCTCGCCAAATTTGAGTATGTTTTGCGATTGGGTAGTTGCTAAAATTTTGATTAGGAATTGATTGCTGAAATTTTGAAAATTTTCTTCATTATTGAATGTTCTAACAAGCTTAAATTGAATATTAAGAATTTCACTTTTGATACGTAAATATATATATATATATATATATTGTGGCTGAATAATGAATATGTGTTTAGATTTGGTATTTTTTTGAGTTTAAATTGATTTTAGTTGAAAGAATGAAATTTAAAAAGTTTGGTAAATTTATATAGATGTTTGGAAAATTTTTGGGGAAGATATTTATAGGATAAGATGGTTATTGTATGATTTAAGTTTGAATACACACAAGATATTTGATGAATTGTTTGATTGGAGAAAGTTAGTTTTTGGTAGCAAATGAATGCAAAATGTGTATCATTGTTGAGTATATTGTTTTAGTAGGTAATTATTCTCTGTAACACAAGGTTTAAAGTGTAGTTAGAAAATTTTGGAGGTCAATAATTCAAGAACCAAGTTTGTTGGTTCTTCTGTTAGCTTTTGAGTTCAAATAGAGTGCTTGATAAAATGTCTGAAGAATGAAGTTTATGAAAATTAAATATACACAATTGATAATATTAATTATATCATAATAGAAGTTGTTATTTTCTATAGGTATGCTTGAAAACTTTGAGTGTTGTTTATATATGTGTTTGCCAAAGATTTATTGATTAAACTCAATATAGCATTTTATTTGTAAAAGGTTTTTTTTTTGTCAAATATTTGTGAAAGATTGATGTTGAGATTTTCTTTTCCAATCCTCTAAATTTGTTGGATTGAAGAATTTTGGATTTGTAAAGTATATAAAAGAAATAACAATATTTAATTGGGCATTAGGGAATTAAGGCATAAACAATATTACAAATATAACTAATAAATTATATATTTGAGAATGTTAAGGCAAGTGTATAACATTTCAATTAATTTATCAACAAAATTTTTATTAGAATACTATTTTTCTTAAATAGATCATGTGTACTATTTTAAATGTTGACTAATTTACTGACTAAGTTACTTAAGTTCATGAAGTTATAGTATGTAGGGTGAAGGTTAGGCGAATTTCTTTACATGTATGCACATTCTCATGCAAAAGATACTTTTTAGATTTAAGACAATGTTTTTACAAGTTTCAGTAATCTTTTATTTGATAAACATTGGCAACCTTGGAAATTATTCATGAAGAAATTTATAAGACAGTTATGAATTTTCATATTAAGAAAGATTTATATATTAAATGATTTATACGAGTTTGATATTGAAAAGAGAAAATTATACTTTTGATAATGATTATTTTCTCACGTGTTTAACAATGGATTTCAAGAAGATTATATGCAAAACACTAGTTGTTAATGGCAATTCTGTTAGTCATTGGCACGCCATGGTTATAACTAATTAGTTTGACTTTTGTGAGCATCATACTCACGTTTGTTCTTTGCGGGTCTCATATCATGTTTGATTTTGAGGCTTCGAGCTGTGTTTAGTTATTATTACCCTCATGGATTGTGTTTCTGTGTTTATTTCCATAGTTTAAACTACGTTTGCTTACTTGCTCTCATAAATTGTATGTCCAAATTTTTTTCATGACATAAGTTGCTTTTGATTATTTACCCTCATAAACCGTGTATCTATCTTTGTTACCTGTTCTGCAAAGTTATTAGAACATTATTTTTTAATTGATTTGTGAATATACACTTCATTAATTTTAAACATTGAATGCTACTATTTTTATTTATTTACTTAATCTATTTTATTTCACAAGATCAAGTGTTATGGCAGTTTTGTTATTGTAAATCTAATAGTTCAATATTTTTAAAGTTATATAGAATCTCTTGATCTTCAAGATAAGTGATTATATTATATTGAATGTTCTCTCTTTAATTTGTATATAATTACTTGAGTTTACTCATCTTAATTCTTTTAATTTTATTATTGGGATGTTAGGAAAAGTTTATTTTTGGTTTCAATTAATATGTTGCCGGCCTTGTACCTCTACTTGAACATTGTAAAGTTGATTACAATTGGAAGTTGAAGCACTATTTCAATTTCAATTAATCTTTATTTGATGTAGAACCTAAAATTTTTGTATTATATTTTATAAATTAAGTTTTAAGTGCTCCACGGAGATCATAAACAGGATCCTTATGTTATTAAGTGATGTCATAAGACTTGTTGACATGGAGCAGGACTCTTCCTTGATTAAATTGAGTTGACTTATAGATATTTTTTTTTTCTTAGAGATTTTATTTATAGTAAAGATGTTGTAGAAAATTTTATAGGAAATTTGCAACTAAAAATATATTAATATTATTAAAAGAATTCTATTCTATAGGAGCAGTGTGTTTGTGGTTAAAAATAAGATGTTTTCTATTTAAATGCTTAAGGGATGTGGATTTTATGTCGGTCATATCTTGATTTTCTGGACTTAACAATGTCACAATCTCTTTCAACTTAACATTTTCATGGTGTAATTTCGTCAGAATTTTAATTTCACGAATGGCAGTTATAGGAAACTGCAACAAAAATCAATTATTCAGGGAAGAACCTTGTGATACAAACTTGGTAGCAGACAAGTGAACAACTAATAATACTTTCTCAATTATGAAGTGTAGACTTGAAATTCTCATCGTGAAAAGATCAACTGGATTGTAAACAAAATTATCTTATGCACCCATAATAGAGTGAATAACATTCAGCAAGGTGATCAAAGAGATCTCTCATTGTCCATTCTTATTTTCTTCAAAGCAACAGTGTCACCTATTCTGATTTCTCTAGCCATGTACAAAGGTATAGATCAGCTCCTTCTTGCAGTATCAGCAATGAAGAATACACCCAGAAACAAGATATTTTGGAGCAGAAATAGGCTAACAACTCTACCTGCAGGCTATGACTCAAGCATATGCCTTAAAAGGGAAATTTAAGAATATAAAATATTACAAAGCAAAAAGTTCTAACAGTGCAATTCTTACACCTACAACTCAAAGTATGTTTCTTTGGGAGTTGAAACCTATAACAAGTAATTGGTGTCTTCCGATTCCAAATCTATAATAAGTTGGAACTTATTATGGGACACACAATGTATTACAGATGTATCATCATTACTCTTCAAGCGGGTTATTCTATTCCACCTCTTAAAAAGAAAAGAACTTAAATCAAAATGCTTAGTATAGAACTTCTACTGTGAAACCTTGCCCAATGATTGTGGCTATTCTCCCTCTCCCAACAAAGCTATTGCAAAACTGTATACATAACTGGTTGCATACACTTATACTAATTCTATAGGAGTCCAATCATGATAAATATTGTGATTCGGAAAGCACGTCTTAATTACGAATCATAAAACATATCAAACTATAAGATTTAGTGACGATTGAAAAATAGCTGAAATATAATAATGTTACTTATGTATCCTTGTAATGTAGACACAATGCTAAAGATAATAAATCTGATTCATAAGTTAAGATGGTGAATGCATTGGACAACAAAACTCATCCAGAAACCTCTTAAATTATCAAGTAGTCAAATACCCCATCCAGCAACTAAATAAAACTTGCGAACTGAATGCAGTCCTCGAGTACAAAGGCAAAACATCGCAAATAGACCTGATTTTGGGTTGGGACAAGGGCCTGACTTTTGCCAAATTTCAAAGGTCCCGCACCTAAAGCGCTCTTGAGAACTCACGGCAATTTGGGTTAGGCTAATGGCCTGACTTTAGCTAAATTTCTAAGGCCCAACGTCTAAAGCCCTCTTGAGAGCTCACAGCAAAGGCCAAAACATTATAAAAGCTCATCTGAAGGTGGTGAAGGGCAAAAGACAATTAGATTAAAATAGTTTATTAAGGTGCTTGATAATTTATAGCAGGGGTTAAGGACAGTTCTAAAGAGTACAGACCTATTAGTTTATTAGATTAACATATTTTTTTACATGTTTGAAAGTGGATTTCGAGAGAACTATATGCAGAACATTGATTGTTAATGACAGTTACATTTGTACTTAGCACGCCATAGTTATGACTAACTAGTTTGACTTTTGTGAGCATCGCAACCACATTTGTTATTCATGGGTCTCATGCCTATGTTAGATTTCAAGGCTTCAAGTCATATTTGGTTAGTATTATCCTTGTGTACTGTATATCCACGTTTATTTTCACCACTTACTACATTAGGTCACTTATCCTCATAGACTTTGCGTCCATCTTTATTTTTGTGGCCTAAACTGCTTTTGATTATTTATCCTCGTGAATTGTATGTCCATGTTTGTTACCTAATCTATAAAGTCCTCAGAGTATTAGTTTTTAATTGATTTGTCAATATACACTTCATTAATTTCGAACAATAAATGTTACTATTTTTATTTATTTACTTAATCTATTTTATTTCACAAGTTTTAAGGCTGTTGTGTTATTATAAATTTAATAGTTCAATATTTTTGAAGTTATATAGAATCTCTTGATCTCCAAGATCAATGATTACATCATATCTAATGTTCTCCCTTTGATTTGTATATATTTACTTGAGTTTACTCATCTTGATTCTTTTAATCTTATTATTAGGATGTTTTTCATTAAAAAAAATTATTTTTGGTTTCAAATAATATGTTACTAGCCTTGTACCTCTAGTTGAACATTGTGGGGTTGATTAATGATTACCAATTGGAAATTGAAGAGCTATTTTGATTAATCTTTATTTGTTGTAGAACCTAAATTTATGCATTATAATTTATAAATTAAGTTTTAGGTGTTCCACATAGACCATAAGCAGAATCATTACCTAATTGTGTGATGTCGTATGACTTGTTAAATTGAGTTGACTTGTTGGCACAAAAGCAGCCTTCCCTTATGCCAAAGGGATACGGGATGGTCACGTCCCCACACTTGGTATCACAGCCTCGTTTTGATTCTTGTGCTGCGACCACAGGCACAAGAGTGAAGACAATTCGTGCCAGTTTAAAAGCAATAATGCACTCAAACCCATTGTTCAAGCTATGTGATGGTAATTCTCTCTGATGGACGATTCCAGAGAGCTAACAAGGTATTTACTTAGTACATGATATAGATTTTGTGTCACCACAATTTATGAATCGGCCCCACCAACAAGACAAGATTCAGTAAGATAAGATACTACTTTTTTTTTTCCCCCTTTTGTCGAAGATAAGATAAAATACTATTTAGAGCAAGTAATTTAAATGAGTCATATTTATTGAAACCAGATTTATTTAAATCAGATTTAAAATACTTGAATGGATGAACATATAAAAAAAATTCATATAACTAAACTTGATCCTAACACTCATCTAACTTTTGATTTATTTGGCCAGACATAAATATCCAAAATTTTAAATATTATTTTATTTTTTAAGTCAATTTCAAGTTTTATTTTAAAAATTAAGATTTCCAATTTTTACATAATTTTAATTTTATTTTTTTTCTTTTGTCGAAGATAAGATAAAATACTATTTAGAGCTAGTAATTTGAATGAGTCAAATTTATTGAAATCAGATTTAAAATACTTGAATGGTTGAACATATAAAAAAAATTCATATAACTAAACTTGACCCTAACACTCATCTAACTTTTGATTTATTTGGCCAGACATAAATATCCAAAATTTTAAATATTATTTATTTTTTTAAGTCAATTTCAATTTTTATTTTAAAAATTAAGATTTCCAATTTTTACATAATTTTAATTTTAATTTATTAATAATGAAAAAAGAATTCAGGTTAAAGTTTGGCCCCGATATCTTTGGCTTATTCGGGTAGTCCAACCCAAGTGCAGAAAATTGTCTCACCTCCTAAACCCAAATCGAAATTTTTTCATCACTTCCTGGAATTTCATCCCATGGTGGGTTTCTAGAAGACTTGGACAAGTCAAAGTCTTCGGGGGATACTTCTACTCTTCTTCCTACATGAGAAGATAAATTTGCATCACCTAACGTTTCTCTTGCTGGCCGATGTGCAGCCAGAAATAGTTGGATTATCATCTTTATCATCGTCATCATCTACATTATTGTGGAATTAATTTGGATCTTTTATAATTATTTTATTAGACTCTTAAAAGATCCATATAGAGTTTCTTTTTTATCATTTTATATGTGCTAAAATCATTTTTTCAGGCTTTATTTTAGTTATTTTGATTTTTGATAGATGACAAACCTCTAGTATAGATTATTAGGGGAGAGGGGTCTCTTCACTTCTTTTTCCTCCTTTTCTTTTCATTTCTCAATCAACATCATTGATTTTATTTTATTAAGTGAGTTTATTTTAATTATAAATTTAATGAATGGTGATGATTAAGAAATGGAGTGAAAAGAAGGAAAACGAAGTGGAGAAACACTCACCCCCATTATTAACTCATGGAGTCAACCTTAATTATGAGGGATTTCAATATTTTTTATTTTAGTGGTTAGACTTAAATACTTTTGCTTAAGAGATGATAAGTTATGATTCACTCCAACCTATGCTAGTATATATAAAGCAATATTTCTATTGCATGGGCTCATTTCCTTTTATCTTTGAGTATTATTGATACTTTCCTTTTGTGATTATGACGACAAATCTTTCAAGCATCTAATACTCCCTCCAATCTCTATATGGGGTGTTTTCTAGAAAAAAATTCATGATTTTTAATATAATATAAGATACTTAATAGAATGTTAATTATGCTTTTTCAATATTATTCTTATTAATGAGACTCAAACTCTTAAGACTTTGTTTAAGAGATGTTAAATCTGTAATCACTCACTCTAGCATTGATTAGTATTAAATAGCACTCTTTTGGTTTTATTTAACTATAAATCACTTTTAATATGTTTAATTAAAATTAAGGAAAATCTTAAAACACATTAAATTTATTTAAAAATTTAATAAGTTTCTAACTTTGTTTCTATTATATATATATATATATATATATTTCGATAACGCATTACTTTCTCTCACCAACATTTAATGGAAGGTAAATGAAAAAATTTGTGATAAAATTTTTATAATGTATAGACTTATAAATAAGATCATAACAATTTTCTTTCTTTGTCTTATATATAAGACTGGAGGGAGCATCTCTATTATTATATTGTACCTAGGTTAATATCTCTATCTTCAATTCCTAAGAGAGACATTGGCGAAGAGACTTGGTCATTGCATTGACTCAAACAAGTCATTATCAAGAGCTAAAAGATGAAGATCAAGTTTCACTAATACAACAAAAGTTGGGAGACTCATCGATCAAGTCTCCTTCTTGATCGATATTCCATGCCAGAATAAGGCAACGAATGATCCTCAAATTAGTTAGGCCAACTTGCATTCCACAGCCTAGCAACATCCACATAAAATCCCATGACTAATAAAATCCCAACTATCTTTTCATATATAAATAACTAAGCTAGGCAGACGTAGGACCCGGGATTAGTAGGGCAGAGAATATAAAATAATAAAAGATAGTGTAAATTTATATTACCTAAAAAAGAATAATATAAATTTAAAGTTAACATGTTAAGTGTTTAAAATATACTGAACT